GATGATGATGATGATGATGATGAGGAGGAGGAGGAGGAGGAGGAGGAGGAGGAGGAGGAGAAGGACCTTCTTCTCTTTCGCCTCCAGGCATCCGAGCGTCATAGATAGTTTGTTAATGGCCCTGGGTCCTGGGAACGGCTTCCAGAGGCCTCAAGCTGAGAAAACTTTGCTGCCGCGATCTTTCTTTCGCGACGCGTAGAGGTCCTGGCATCCTCAGACGAACTCGACGATGACGACGACGACGACGACGACGGCGGCGGCGGCGGCGGCGGCTACGAGAGGTGCTGGCGCCCCCCCTGGGCGACGGCGCTCGGCCTCCGCGGCCGCCGGCCGCCATCGCGAGCTCCCAGGTGCAGATCGAGGACGGGGGTCGAGGGGCGAAACATTTTGCACGTCAGTGGCGAGGCAGAAGTGCTGCTCCGGCGGGCGGCGAGCCGGGGCGACCGCTGCGCGAGTTGGCCGGCGTGCAAGAGGGGGAAGGGGAGACGAGATGGTCGCTGTGGACAGGAGGAGGCGGCGGGCACTCCGACGTGGACGAATTCCAAGCTGAGTGCGCCGGCGCGGCCAGCAGCGGCAGCGGGGGCCACGGCATCAGCCGCGGCGTCGGTGTGCCCACGGGCGCTGCCGATGCACGGCATGAACACGTTGTGCATTTTCAAGGCAAGTGTGCGCGGCGCTAAGGCGAGAACCACATTCAGAAGAGGACTCGCTCTCCATCCGTATAATGATTGCAAGATTTTAGGACGAACGTGCGCGGCGCCAAGGCGTCAGCCACAGTTCGACCATCCTTCCATCCGTGTAATTGTTGGCAACTCAAACTTGAAAGTCTCAGGCGAAACGCCCAGCCCAGTCTACCGACACGCCAGGTTGTCAGACGAGGAGTTGTTTGCAAGGAAAAAGCATGGAGGAGGCGGGAAGGGGGTGCAGGGAGAAGGAGGGCCCATGATATACCCAGTCCCCCGCAGACGCGGATGACAGTGAGAGGTCGCGGGTGGGTCGCGGCGCGATCCACTCGCGACCCACCCACCCCCGCATCGGCCACCCGCGCCGACGCTGACAAGAATATGAACAGTCGCTACGTGAAGTTGGTGCGGTCCCTCAATTTGGCAGAGGGAAGATTAACAAATAGAGACAACGAGGATTCGAGTAGGAAGCGATCGGGGAGGGGGACAAGAGGGAGATAGAAGCATTGAGGACGAACAGGATTGAGCAGGAGGGGGAGGAAAGAGAAACAGGAGAATTGACAGGCGGACCCTGACGGGCGGTTCGAGCGGGCGGAACCACTTGGCGAGTCGGGCGAGCGGACCCAAATGGGCGGGTCGGGGGGGTGGGAGATGAAAGCGAGTGCGCGGGCTGCCAAGCAAGGGAAGCGTCAGACCCGAACGGGCGGGTCCGTCGGGCGGACCCTAACGGGCGGGTGTACCTTAACGGGCGGGTCGGGCAGACGTGCCCTAACGGGCGGGTCGGGCGGGCGGGCCCTAACGGGCGGGTCGGGCGGGCGGACCCTAGCGGGCGGGTCGGGCGGGAGGACCCTAACGGGCGGGTCGGGCGGGCGTACCCTAACGGGCGTGTCGGGCGGGCGTACCCTAACGGGCAGGTCGGGCGAGCGTACCCTGACGGGCGGGTCGGGCGGGCGGACCCTAACGGGCGCCCTGATGGTCGGGCGGGTCTCCAGGACCGGCTTCTCGTCGCGTGTTATTCAGGAAGCCTTGGTCGCACTGAAACTCAGGGAGCTCTGGCGGACCTCTCCGCGGGCGCGTCCTGGTCAGAGTTTCGGGGCGGGTCCAGCTGTGGCCACGAGGGCGCCCCAGGAAGCTCCCAAGGCCGTTCGAGCATCAGACACCCGATCCCCGATGGGCAGCCGCCGCCTTCCAATGGGGTCCCCGACCCGCGATGCCCGATCCTCGATTGGGATTGGAGTCCGCCGACTCTGACAGGCTCCTCCTCCTCCTCCTCCTCCTCCTCCTCCTCCCCCTCCTCCTCCTCTCCTCTCCCTCTCCTCCTCCTCCTCCTTCTTCAACCTCCTCCTCCTCCTCCTCCTCCTCCTCCTCCTCCTCCTCCTCCTCCTCCCCCTCCTGACAGGAGGTCGCGTGAGCGCCATCTCGCGCCCGGACCAGCGCCGCGCCTCGGGGTCCCGTGAGCCCGCGGCGCGTTCGGCCGACGCAGGTCGTCGTCGTCGTCGTCGTCGTCGTCGTCGCCGCGGGAGGAGGATGAGGAGGAGCAGGAGGAGGAGGAGGAGGAGGAGGAGGAGGAGGAGGAGGAGGAGGAGGAGGAGGACCAGCGCAAACCCAAGGAGGGTGAGCAGGGGATGAGCAGGAGGAGGAGGAGACCAGCGCAAACCCCAGGAGGGTGAGCAGGAGGATGAGCAGGAGGAGGAGGAGGAGGAGGAGGAGGAGGAGGAGGAGGAGGAGGAGGAGGAGGGAGGATGAGTAGTAGTAGTAGTAGAGTAGTAGTAGTAGTAGTAGTAGTAGTAGTAGTAGTAGTAGTAGTAGTAGTAGTAGTAGTAGTAGTAGTAGTAGTAGTAGTAGTAGTAGTAGTAGTAGTAGTAGTAGTAGTAGTAGTAGTAGTAGTAGTAGTAGTAGTAGTAGTAGTAGTAGTAGTAGTAGTAGTAGTAGTAGTAGTAGTAGTAGTAGTAGTAGTAGTAGTAGTAGTAGTAGTAGTAGTAGTAGCAGTAGTAGTAGTAGTAGGAGGAGGAGGAGGAGGAGGAGGAGGAGGAGGAGGACCAGCGCAAACCCAAGGAGGGTGAGCAGGAGGATGAGCAGGAGGAGAAGGAGGAGGAGGTGGAGGAGCAGAAGGAGGAGGAGGAGGAGGAGGACCAGTGGAAACCCAAGAGTCAGCAACGTTGTTGAAATTAACCCTCCCTCTAAGGTCCCTCTTCGTAGCCCCCCTACAACGGTTCATTTCCATTGAGGGAACTGCCTCGTTGGAAGACAACGGTTTGAAGATCCTGAAGAGTGCCAAAACATTGTTCTCGGGATTTCAACGCCACATATCAACCTGACTGCTGCGTCTTGACGATCCAGAATCGTGCCAGAACGCCACTTTTGGAACTTCAACACATCGAATCCACATAACTGTTGCGCCCGCATAATTTTGAATCCTCCCCAAACCCCATGTCTGGTACGTTGATCATGGGAGTCCGTAAAACTCTTGTAGTTTTAGAATGAATGTGCACGGCGCTAAGGCGAGAGCCACATTTTGAAAAGGAATCGCCCTCAATCCGCGAAACTCTTGTACATTTTGTAAATCGAACGTGCGCGGCGCTAAGGCGAGAGCCACATTTTGAAAACATCCCGCCCTCAATCCGCGAAACTCTTGCAAACTTTTGAAACGAATGTGCACGGCGCTAAGGCGAGAGCCACATTTTGAAAAGGAACCGCCCTCAACCCTGTACATTTTTTAAATCGAACGTGCGTGGCGCTAAGGCGAGAGCCACATTTTGAAAACGACCCGCCCTCAATCCGCGAAACTCTTGCAACATTTTGAAACGAATGTGCGCGGCGCTAAGGCGAGAGCCACATTTTGAAAACGACCCGCCCTCAATCCGTCAAACTCTGACAATTATTTTCAACGAGTGTGCGCGGCATTAAGGCGAGAGCGACATTTTGAAAACGACCCGCCCTCAATCCGTGAACTTCTTGCATTTTTCAGAACGAGTGTGCGCGGCGCTAGGGCGAGAGCCACATTTTGAAAACGACCCGCCCTCAATCCGTCAAACTCTTGCAATTATTTTAAACGAATGTGCGCGGCATTAAGGCTACAGCGACATTTTGAAAACGACCCGCCCTCAATCCGTGAAATTCTTGTTTTTTTCCTAAGAACGAATGTGCGCGGCGCTAAGGCAAGAGCGACATTTTGAAAACGGCCCGCCCTCAATCCATGAAACTGTTGTCACTTTTTAGGCTCCAGAGTCATACATGGTGAGGAAGTCTCAGGCGAAACGCCCGGCCGGCCCTAAAAACTGGCCTCGGGGTGCGACAGGGGGGAAGGAGAAGGAATGGGGGAGGAGGAGGAGGAGGAGCAGGAGGAGGAAGAGGAGGAGGAGGAGGAGGAGGAGCAGGAGGAAGGAAGGAGGAGGAGGAGGAGGAGGAGGGGGACCAGTCCAAACCTAAGGCGCACCAGCGATGTGCAATAAACCTTCCCTCCCAGTTCCTTTGTCTTTGTGCCCTATAGAAATTCGTTTCCACTGTGGGGAATTTCCTGTTCGAAGACAAGAGTCTGAGAATCTTCAATCGTACCAGAACGCCATTACTGGGACTTCAGCGTGGCTGTTGCGTCCTGCCAATCAAGCGTCGTGCCAGAACACCATTTCTGGGACTGCAACGCTGTGAATCGACGTGGCTGTTGCGTCCTGGCTGTCTCAATTCGTGCCAGAACACAATTGCTGGGACTTCGACCATACGATTCCTTGAACTGGTTGCAGACTTTGGAGAAGAGGGTGCGCGGAGGTAAGGCGAGAACCACATTTTCAAAAAGAAGCGCCCTTCATCCTCGAAATTGTTGCAAACTCTGAAGACGAATGTGCGCGCCGCTAAGGCGAGAGCAACATTTGACCCCCCCTTCCTCTATCCTTTTGTTGCAAGCTTTTGAGACGAATGTGCGCGGCCCTAAGACGAGAGCCACACTTTGAAATCGGCTCGCCCTCCATCCATGAATCTGTCGCAAATTGTTGCGACGCATGTGGGCGGCATTGAGGCGAGAGCCACATTTTGAAAATGGCCTGTCCTCAATCCGCGAAGCTGTTGCAGGTTTCAAGCTTCAGGATCAGAGATGGTGAGGACGTCGCAGGCGGATTGCCTGGCCGGCCCTTCCGACATGTCTGAGGGTGCGACAGGAGGGAGTTATTCATGAGGACAAGGGATGTCGTAGTCGTCGTCGGGATCGGAGTCGTAGGCGTCGGCGTGTTGGTCAGGAGCTCCACGTCCCCCCTCGCTCCAGGTGTTGGTCAGGAGCCCCCCAGGAAGGAGGAGGACAGCGACGGCGACGGTAGCGACGACGAC